AGTTTTCATGCTACTGCCATTCCAGAAAGAGAAAACAGGGAGCCCTGAGTTACCAGCTTAGTGAAAGTTGAGGCTCTGCTACTGCTTTTACTAATCATGCCTAAAGATGATCACAGCAAGCAGACATTATTCTCTACTCTATTAGAGTCACCAGCGCAGCACGGTATGCAGAGGTCAGGATGACAAATGAAAATGGAAACAGGCAATTCATCCTTAATGCTGATGTCAATAAAACTCAGTAAAGTACTTCCATATGCATTCGTTACAAATGTATTACAAACAGAAGGATAAACAGAAGTGAGCCGGGGAGGGAAGGAGATTGTGCAAACTCTATAAAAAGGCATGAAAAATGCAAAGTAGTGGCATGTGCCTGGCTCTCTATTCTACTGCAGCACAGTCAGCGGACTCTGTAGGACCACCTAAAGGGCATACGGACATTGACTCAGGTTTTTCTCTTAACACTGAAGGATGATTCCATTATTTTCATACTTGGAAGAACTAATGACAAACAATTTTAAAGAAAACATGAACTGGAAAAGTTATGATACGTATTATGATACGTGATGCTATTCTGTACTACAGTAGATCACTTTCTTAACCAAAAATCTTCTAAGTAGCCCCTGATGCTTTTTTATGTGAAAGTTCTAGTTTCATTCAAACTAAAGCCAGAAGACAGACATTAAAGTGAACCAGTCTCTAAAAATAAAAATGTAACAACTGTTACTTGTTACCTGAAGATTAAAAGAACTATATGAGTGATATTTATAGAATCTCTTTGGCAAATTTTCCACAGTTAGCTGCTATTTCCAGGATTTAAAAATTCCAGTGTCCAAGATAACAGTATTTTATGAGTGTAACTCCACAAATAAAGGAAGGAAGAAGCCTAGTCCTTAGTAATAAGTGGAACGTTTCCTACCAGGATTTAATCCCTAGGTATGTCAAGATAGTCATTTTCTCATTTCCCAGTTTAAAGACTGCAATCTGCCATTAGTTGGTAGCATGTAGCCAAGAAGCTAGAATGAAGCTTCTTGGGATTTTGTTCAGAACCTTTCAGGTGAGCAAACAGCTGCTTTTTACTACGACAAGTCAATTCAGCTTCAAGCAGATGTATCTGGTCACAACAGTGTTCATATTTTGCAGTTTAGCATGGCACACAGATCCCTAAGTTTGTGCCGGAACCAAAATCAGTATAGACATGTTTTATAGCAATGCACAGTAGCTAATTGACTCTGCTGAGATGTAGGACTAATTGGTATGGAGAAAGTGCTATGCCGATTACACTGCACTATCTCCTAACCCCAAATCCCTCTGGATAGCATTGCACTGGTGTGGGAATGTTTCTGATGAACAGTGATGAACTGGGTAGCACAGAAACGCTCCTAGCTAACACCCCTTCCAGCTGTGACAGCCTGCTTCCCTGCAGCACCATCATTCCATCATTTCCCATTTGATCTACACATCCTATTTGACATCTACATGAAAACTTTTAAGGGATTTCTCCAGGTGTGAATACAAGGCTTTTCACAGGGGACAGTATTGCTGACATAGCTAAAGCACAGATGGTCACTGAAGCGGCCTCTTAACACTTTCAAATAAGGCTTGCAGTTTAACTGGCTGCACAACACCAGAAAGATAACATGGAGCTCCGTATTTCTGTCTCTCTTTCCAGTGCCACTCCTACAAACACAAGCTGGAACTGGATGCCATTTATGTCTCATGCATCATCAAAAAGCAAGCTCAGTTTTTATTTACAGGAGAGAAGAGGACAACTGAAGAAAACAGAGAGCTTTTTGTCCTGTGAAATTCTGGGGAGAAATGAAAAGATTTAGAATTATTTCCAGCACCTCCTTGCTTCCTTTCTTGTTTTTCAACAGCCTTTTCCAGGAAGATTTCTTTTTCTGCAGTTAATGGAAAGAGACTGCTAATGTTATCATTAAAAAGGACATACACATTCTGAGCTGTCTCACTCAGGTAAGGGTCACCTTAAAAATAGGTACTTGGTACACTACTTTTGAGAGTATTTTGCCTTTCATTAGACTCAAAAGAACTATTTGCATGACAACAATTCTTTAATGATAACAGTGTTCCGGAGTTCTATGTAAGTTATATTTTAATGTCATAAATGCAGTAACTGGCGCTCTTAAAAAAAAATTAAAGAATTTCATATAAGTCTTGTTCCAACCTCTGAAAATGAAAAGTCCATCATTCTAAAACACACCTGTCAAAGTGCACTGCCATATACCAAATATACCAAAAATACCAAAATCATCATCTTAACCCTCTGTAACTGACCTACAGAAGCATTCATTTTTCTCCATCTTTGCAGATCATTGGTCATAAAATTAACCAAGCCTTTGTGAAATTTTATCAGTGTTTTTACTCTCAAATTTCTTTGATTTTTCTGCAAGAGGCCCTCAGAAATACATAGGAAAAAGAAGAAGCCCAAACCACAGTCACAGTGTATGCTAGGAAAACAAGCGGTGGATCTGATCTTCTGCTGATCTGCAGCACATTTTTTCATTTGCAGCAAAACAATGTGAATGTGAATTTCACATAAAACTCCATCAAATCAAGATAACCTTATTTTTGTAAAGATGCATGTTAATAAAAAGGTTCAGAAAAATTAAAAAACATTATCGTCCCCAAACCTATTATATGCATAACTAATCTACTCATTATTTACAAGAGCAGAAGCAAAATCAACAACATGAAGACCTATTTTTGTGCTATAAATACACAAGTTTTCTTTCATATCCTTGTTTTTTGATCGTTTTCACAGTGTATATTGGCCTTTACAGTCCAGCTAGAAATTCTGTATCACCTATAATCTAACTATAATCTAAAATGTACTACATAGCTGATATTCTACTGCAGCTTTTCAGTATTTGAACAGGGAAGTGGAGTTTTCATAATAAAAGACATGGAATTCATTTCACTAATCACACATTTAGGGACCTTAAATACACTGATATTTCACTACATTTGATTCTGCGTTGCTGGAATGGATGACAGGTCAGCTGCTAATACAAAACAAAGCAACATTTTTCACTTCAAGAATGTATCTGGGGAGTTTCTAACCTGAATTAAACTAGAAAAGAGTATTTTGTTAAAAAAAAAAGTGTATATGGGAAGAAAGGTAGGGGGAGTGAGAAGGAAAAAACAGAGAAGTAATGTGCTAGTAGAGTATATTGACTCGAGGCTGCTGAAACTGTAGTAGGGAGTTAAACATTGGCTGAAAACCTACAGAAACCTACAGTTAAAATGCTTTTCTATGCCCATTAAAAGAGCTGCCGTAAGTGGCAGCAGTACAGAGATTAGATGGCCCACAGAAAGTTTAAGCACTCCACAGAAATCCGACAGCCCTTTCAAGAATTTTCTGTTTTGCTGTCCTCTAGGAAAGCAAAAGGCTTCTAGTACCTGAAAAAAAGGCTTCTAGTACCTGAAAATCATTATATGATTAGTTAGCTTCACAACAATTGCCCCCAGAAATAGGTATCTGGATTTCACTGGTCTGAAACTGAAACATGAATGGAAACAGATTTCACTCTATTTGATTCTTTTTACTTGGTCATGTTGGGCATGGACTAGTTGTGCCATCATTTTAAAAGTTTTTATAAAGATCTTCAGAAAAGAACCACTTTACATGCTTCACATGCAACATATTAAATAAAAATTGACTAAAATGAATTGGGACTCCCACCACAACATTAAAAGGGGTTTGGGGGGGGGGGAAGGTTTATCCTCACTTCAAGGGTAGCTCAAGGTAGAACTTGAGTTTTTGCACCACTAAGTACCTCTCCACAAAGAAAATCTCTACCTCAAGTTTCTTATGTTATGCTTGAGACTCCTAAACTACAAAAGTATGGCTTGAAACTCACATAGTATAGCGCTGACATCCACGTATTCAAGAATCCTTTTGCTGGTGCTACCACCTGCTTGGACATCAATAACTACAGCTATCACCAGCGAAATGTCTTATTTTCCGGGTCACACAAGCATGGTTTCACAACATAGCCACTGCTGTTACAGACAGCCAGGCTGGCTTGCAAGGAGCAGCTCCAGCATCCAACTACATCTTAACTGTTGCAGTAAAGGAAAGCCCAAAATTAGTCTGGGAAAAAGCACTGGCTATGCACTCCTAGAGCTTTAAAATGTTATGGATACTTCATAATATCACCTTCCCTACATAACTGAATTCAACAGAATAATACTCCATTAAGTTCCTCTTCATGGGGTTCTTCTGTGTTAGGCTACAGATTTGCCTCTTACACCAGTGCCAATGATGAGCTTTAGATCAATGAAATCAAACGGAGGATATTACTAGTTACACTGTTTTGTATCAAAGCACCATATGCCTCAAAATGTCATGGTGAAACTTTCTATTGCCTGTCCAAAAACACAGCACCACATGAAAGGGCTGCTATGTCACGACAATACCTTTAAAAATATTGAGATGCTTCACAGATTTTTATAGTCTCACTTTCGTTTGGGAAAAATCTGTCAAACTCAGGAGCTAGAAATTTGGACAGGTCGCTAGATATAATACTTTAACTGTCTACTTCATTCAGCATTTGTTTTCAGAGGTGTTACTATCAGCCTTCTGAGACACAAAACGATTTCTTCTGCAAACTGTATTTTTTGGGCAAATATCCTTCCCCTGTATTTCGTATCCTAGTCTTGAGTTTGAAAGATTCTACATATGCCCAGTGAACTGAAAAAACATAATTTTGCAATAGTATGTATAATCTCAACATGCAGAAGTACTGTTTTTCTGTCTCTACTCTTCCTGCAGATTCAATGTGACTGAGTTCAATCTAGTTTATGAAGGATTTTTTTTTCCCTATCCCTAAATTGTTTTGGGAGACTATACAATATTATAAAGTCCTTCACACTCAGGCAATGAGAATAAAGCACTGAGTTGAAGTAGATGAATGGAGCAATTTAAAGGTTTATAATTGCTGTGGGAAAGGAGGGAAAGGAAAATGTATTAGAATACTCACTTTGACGAATCTATGAAGTATATTACAAGAGCACCAATACTAAGGGCGAAGACTAATACAACCTACAAAAGAAAAGAAAAAAGTAATTACTTAACAGTGTTAAAATGAAACATTCATGTATTTACAGAAAAAAAGACAGGTAAAATAAATCATAAAATAAAATTATTTTCATTTCAGCTGTCATTTTCTTCATGAAAACTAATCCTGCTTGCATTTTGAACACTATATATTATCATAGGATGCTTTCTTGCATTGAAGAACAGCCACAAAGAAGAAGCTGAATCCCAGCTCAGGGAAATACAGCCTACAAATAGGTCTTGGATTCTAACCTCTAATAAACTAGAGACACTTAAATTTCAAATGACAAACAATCCCAGTGCATATCATTCAAGTCACAGTGTAGCTTTATCACAGCTGTCCTTTAAGTTTACAGTAAGAAGTGTTTGTTCTTTCCTTGCAAATAATGAAAAGCAATCACAGATCAGATTGAATTTGCATTTACATACATTACATATATGGATGTAAAATCCATACGATAAATGTTAGGCTCCGTAAAAATATTTATTTTCCCTCCTCTCTGCACTAAGGCTATTTTCAACTTTCAAACAGGTTAAAACAATAGCTTGAGGCAGCTTCACCTAATATAAAGCATATATAACCCAGGTACTCCACATTTCCAACTTCCTTCCCCCTTTAAATCTACTGAAGTTATTAAACCAGATGATTTTTTTTAGGTGTGGCACCTAGCCCTTATTAACAAGGCAGAACTTGCTCTTCTCTCTAGTACAGCAGAAGCTGGATTAATTATGGCTCCATCTGCGCCTAACTTCCCTCCCTCCCAAACATAAAGCCAATATAACTGTTTGTTCCACTGGCTCTTAAAGATTCAACAACACTGTAGGTAGATTTAGTTTCACGTCTTACCCAAAATTGGCCCATGCCTACATAGGACAGCATAACTGAAATTTCTACACTCAGATTTTGGCTAAAAGAATTGTGAAGTATACAATAGTTTATGTACACACTGTGAATGAGATTACTGATGTCTTTGCTCTAGATTTCTGTCTCTTAAACAATACCATCCACTGGATAATTTGAAGTTCGAAAACATGAACCCAATAAACTACTGCTTATAATCTAGGAGGTGATTCTTCTGGAGGAGATCAGAAAAGATTCCTATCTGCAGCACTGAGGATGTCTTGCAACTCTCATCTGACCTGCTGGTCTACAGCATCAAAACAAAGCGTCCTTCAGTCTTCTGGCAGGCACTTCTTGAGTAGCTTGTACAAGCAATGTCCCTTAAAAAAACCCAGAGAACTGATCTCTCGGGACAGGGTAGACCAGAGTATTACTGCCAGGGACATGCAGCTTCTCATTGCCAGTTAAATTATGAACTTAAGGCCAGAAGTGGCTAAAACTTAACACTTAAAATCTAACGTCCTTTAGACTATTGCATATGTGAAATACACTAGTGGTGTCACTCCAGTTCCAAGTGAGCAGATTTAGTCATCTGTATGAATAGCACTGCCACTGTTGCTACTTTTGTTGACAATCTCAACTATTGAAGCAACAGATGGACACAGAAACAAAATTTGTTCATTCAATACTGACTTCAGGCCTAGAAGCTTGCACTGAAAATTATCAGACCACATTTGACTAATAACAGATATTAATTCTCAAAGATTGTCTCACTAGAGCCTTGAATCATCCATGATTCAGTAACTCCTCTTTTCTAAATATGAGAAAGAATTTGCACGGAAATGCTCTTCCAGCTACAGATTTCAATATAGTTACTAGGCTAACTTCAAAATTTCTGTTCTCCTCAAGATGGTAACAGTTTGGATATTGTTTGCTTTCTGTGCAGACCTTTTTTATTAGTCCATTAAGGGAAAAACAATATTTTATAAGATCTGGAAATTATTTGCACCTGGATTCCAGGGAAAAGGGGTTTTATTTTATTTTTAGAATTTAAAGAAATTAAATATAATTTTTTAAAAGAGCAAGGCACTTATTTTCAACATCTACACAATAAAAAAGAAAAATTCTTAATAACTATCATAAGTTAAAACATCTCTTTCGAAAGCTACCCTATTAGGAAAGAGCCCAACAGCCACACTGCAGGCAATACAGGGGCATGTGTCAATTCTAAGTAGACATAATGAAACAAGAAAGTGGAAGCTTCTCTATTCTCACAGCTTTCACTGAATGCTGTAATGGCGGTACTGGAAGCAAGGTACAATTGTAATTATGTATCATACCATGGAGCTTTGCAGGGCCAAAATCATCAAACGTGCTTATATTTTCCAATAAAAGAAAGAAACTCATCCAATGTCTTAATATTAAGTTATAGGTACAATTGAGTGAATTTGAATTCCCGATCAACTGAGAGCTGTTTTAGACAAATTTTTCACCCCTTTTAGAACTTATCAACCACAATTTTTTGCTTTGTAAATGTCTGAGAAAGAACGTTTTGCCTAAGTGAATACGATTACCTGGAGTCTTATTTGATTCTTTTTCATCCAAGGCAGTGTGATCCGATGGTCAAATTCAAGAAGTGAAACATGAAATCCTTCAAGTAACATTTTTATTACTTAAGTGTCAACATCTAGCGTTTGATTCTGCTTTCTTTAAACTACACTATTGATCAGATGTGTGCATATGTTATAAGGTGACACGAACTATTAAAATCATATCAGCTGGTTAGAGTCTGATTGCACGGTAAGAAATAAAAGCAATGAATAGAACTTATCGATTGTTACTTGGCAAGATAAATTGAATTATGATTAGCAGTGGTTCCAAGCCCTATTTTTTTCTCAGAATGAAGTTACTGGGTATGTGACTGATTGTTCTTTACCCCTAGTATTCCAAATCTGACACAATCACTGTGTTTGGATCTGAATCAAATTTGCTACATTGTCTAGCTCTAGAATTATTTATTATCAATAAATCTTTTACATCTTTACATCTTTTTTAAAAACAGAGTTAGCCGAACTGTTGAAGCTCAGGGAATACATTGGCTAAATCACTGCTTAAATTTTTAGTGAAAATTTTGTCGTGACTCAAAAACCTGTTTTAAAGGCAATCATTGAATGTTACATGCTTTAGAGCAAAGTACTAACAGTGAAGTTCTGCAAAATCCATGAGTAAAGCTAGAATTCGGTTTTGCATAACAAGTCCTAGGTCATAACATCCACTCATTGTCTAGTAGACAAAAAAGTCCTCTGGAACAAAACCAGCATAATTATATACCGGCCTTGTACTGCAGTCATGCCTAGTCTTTTAATAAACATCACTGTGGAGCTTGACTAATATTAGCTAGGTCCTAGGTAACACCTTCCAAAACATTCCAGGAATTTGAATGTCCTTCAAAAATTCATACAACTTCCATTACAATGCAAATGTCTCCATTCTGCAAGAGCTCCAGATTCCCAGGCTATGCTACACAGTGAGACAGGGACATAAAACAAAAAAACTATTCCCCTGTTACAGTGTATACTTACTTTTAAATCAAGACCTATTTCCACTTCTATTACCCCAAACCACACACCTGGCATTACAATTCATAATGCCCCAAATTCACACAAAGGGCATCAATAGCAAATGGAATCTTAAACACCCCCGTTATCCTACTAGCAGGAAAACACATTTTTCCATTGCTAAGTGACAGAGGTATGAGGTCAAGCTTGAATATGCCAAATGTGTGCAGAAACCAGGGCCTGAAGCAACTAGATTAGAGTTATATTAAAAATAAAAAAATCATTCTCCTTCTGTGCCATACTAATCTGTTTGATATTGTCTCAGATGCAAGCTTGGTCCTATATTCCCATATCAAAAGTTGAATATATCCTGATTAGATGTGGAAAGACAAAAAAAAGTCTAAAGTTACTGAGTTTAGGTCTACATTCACATTTGAGTCCTTGCAAGATTTTCATGGAAGCCAATGCCTGTTTTTGGAAACTTTTGCTATCTTTAAAGTGTGGTAGGATGCTAGATAGACGGATATCCCAAACTCCCAGCAACTAGAATCTAAGGGAAGGAAAGAAGCATATCTGAAGTGAATTATTGCCTTGTTTGTTAAGTAGGCCATGGGGAGACAAAGCTTGCTTGCTCTGTTTATTATTCCAATGCATTTGGCACAAGTTTGTTACTGCTACACATTCATTATAGCTTCTCTCTCCCTCTCTGGAAGGAATGAATCTTTTAATTTATAATAACTTACTGTTTGTTTAAGACTGAGAAATGTGAAGTCATAGGCTAGCAACTACAGTGACTAAGCACTTAATATTGAGTTAAAAATAAACATCAATCTGATTAAAGGAAAGAGGGGAAAAAGCATGGAATAATTGCTGCATATCCTTAAGTCTTTCAAAAAAAAAAAAAATCTGGCCCCAGAGTTCAACAAAAGCGTACAGTACCTTTTTGAGGCAGAGAATCAGCAAAACAACAGAAAAATCCACTTAAAGAAAACTATAAAAAAGATATGCTCTCCAGAAGAGCTTTGACTACTCCATTGAGATCCACATCTCACACACATTAAGAACAACCACAAGAAAGTTAAAAAAAAAAAAAAAAAACACCCTGGAAATTATAATAAAGGGGTGGTAATGTAACGAAACTACAGGGAAAGTATAGGCATTGAGAAAATGCCGCTAGAATGAAGAATGATAACTCCAGAGGGATCAGCACACCTCCCAGAGCCAGGCCTATGTAACCAAAAGAATAATATTGATAACCCAATGGGTGGCACTAGTTCCCCTGTATCTGAATTGAACTAATGTCCTAGCATTATTGAAGAAACATGGAAAAATAGAAAGGCTGTTCACATAAGGGAGGAGAGATATAATTAATACACATAGAGCAATGAGTAGCGTAAAGACTCTACAGAGGAACTTCTGTTCAATCTCTCATTGTGCCAGAATATTTGAACGTTCTGTGAATGAGCATACAACACTGCATAAAACTCAAGAGGTTGATCAAAAAGGGATGGATATCTATTGTAATACCCTTCTCCACATTCAGTATTAAAATAAGCAGTAAATAGTGAAAAAAAAAAACTTTCAGG